TTCAACAATTTCTCGGGATTGCGCAGCAATTCTGTCATTGCCCAATGGACTGTACTTGCAGTTGTGTCTGTTCCTGCCACAAATAAGTCCTACAATATAAAGCACAAATTAGCAATTATATTTTGTATTGTATCTTCTGATTTTGAGGAAATATTTGTTGGTTTAGCAACACTGACTTAACCATAAAGTCATCCTCTTCAAAAAATGAAATTCTGCTTCATTCTTATTTCGAATTTGAAATTTTTGGTGAATGGATGTGATGCCCATGAACAAGGTACAGAAACTAATTTCACTATGGTCAAATTATAACGTATCTCAACCTCTCATTCAGAAAATAAAAACTGAAAAACTATTTACGACTTAAGGCGAAAACCTGAAGACAGAGCAAAAGAACTATGTAGGCCTGTTTGATGAGATTGAGCTAGACAGTAGGGGTGACAGTTTATAAATTTTGAATAAACTCAACCCAGAGGAAGTTGTTTTAAAAATAATCCAATTCTCTTATCATACTCCGTGCAAATTAGATCTGATTTTCTATGTAATTAAACAAAAATAAAATGTGTATTCTCCAGGAAATTGAAGAATTTTACTTACCAGAAGTAAATGCTTTATATCGTTGACGCTTAAGCCGGAATCATTTCTTTGGCTGAGATCAAGGAGTGCTTCCAGTACATCATGTTTCAGTGGAGAACCAATTTGTGTTCCTCTTGATAGCAATCTTCCATTGATGATGTCATCAAATATTGCCAATAATTTTCCAAAATAAACTTCAGCCTTGCGCTTAACACCTTGTGGGATCAATCCATTTAAGAACTGGGAGGAAGTCCCCAAGATTTGGAGTGCCTAAAATTTTCATCACGTTTCCTACAATTTCCTTCAGTTCTTGAGACGCGTCAGAATTAAAATAAGCAAAATCAACTGAGAATAGGGTGTTCGATATCAAGTTAAGTGATGTTACAAAAGCAACTTCTGCAATATCCACGACTTGACCGCTCGAGCAACATTCCTGCACATAATCAAGCAGTTTCTGCAATTTGTCTTGGCGAAGACCCTGGCTAGCATCAAGTCTGTCTAATGAAAACATTTGTTCTTTGCATATTTTCCGGTGACTCCGCCACTTGCTTTCCGCTGGTAAGCAAGCCACAGATGCCTTGTGGTGGTCGAGTGCTCGCGCTGCAGCTGTAATTATTCGGCTCGAAAAGGCTTGATCATGTTTCTGAAGTACTTCTTTGGCAATTTCAGGAGATGATACAACCATCGTATTTATGCTTCCTAGCTTGAGATACATCAAAGGGCCATAAGTCTTTGAGAGTTTGGTAAGTGATTGGTGAGGGTTTCGCCCAAGTTGAAAGATGTTTCCGATGATTGGATAGGGATAAGGCCCCGGAGGAAGCTTGGTGTATCTCTGGTTCCTTAAATTTGATTTATGGACATGAAAACATGTCCAAAAGAAGCAAAAAATTACAACAAAAAATGTTAAGAAATCCATTTTCCTCCTCTCTTTGTTTCAGTTCTAACTTGGGATCCACCAAAACTGATAAATCATATGTGGCTGCATTTTCTCCTATCTAATAATTTCTGATTCATATTTTATTTGCACATATTATTATCAGTCAACAAATTGCATAAATCTACCTTGCAGTAACACCAGATTTTCCTACATTAATTTTCAATCAACTGAGAAAGACATTAAAAATGTCTGCAGAACAAAGTTTTTGTAGTTTTCTTTTTTTGAGATTCTTCCTTCTCTCTCTCTTCCCAAGGTGGTGCACATGCCCATCTTACCATGTGCTTGCATAGGAGTGATTTTTTTGAAAAAATATTTTTTTTTTTGGAAAGTGATTTTTTTTTTGGATTACGTGTGAATTTAAAAATAGTTGAAAATGAATGTAACACAAAAGTTATTCTCAAAAAATTACTATCAAATAAGGGCTATATCGTGTGGTGCATGATAGCAGCGATCTTAACGTTTCAAATGTGACGAGCCATCTTAATGTTTCAAATGTGACATTCTATTTTTGGAAATCAAATGATTAATTGAAAATTTAGTATTGCCTTCCCATTTCCTCTACTCTAGCGTAATCACATCATAATAGCATGTTCGAAAAGTGTTTATAATCCATTAAATAATTATAGCTTAGCAATGAATAAGTAGGTAGTACCGGTGAATTCTACGAAATATAATGAAACTAATTTATTAATCTCTATATAGGCTATGTTTGAGTTAATATTTTACAATTAGATTCTAAATATCTGAATTTTCAATTTAATATTGAGTATGTCAAAATATGGTTCAGTTATTGAATAATATAAATTAGGCCTAATTATTTAAATATTTACACAAATGCATTACTACGTTGACTGAAAACAAAAATATTAATTATTTTTATCCCTTGTTTGGTGGGATTAAAATTAGACTTTTAGTAAATTTTGATAGAAATTGATAAAATATGTGGTTGAAAAGTTGTAAAATCTGGGATAGTGTGAAAGCGGTGATTTGATGGAAATATTATCATTTAGATCTTATTTGGGAATGACTAAAATCCAATTAAAATCGAAAATATAGTCGTTATTGGATCCCACTCGTCTAATAAAAGTCAACTCCATCAGCTATATTTTCAATTTTAATCTGATTTTAATTCCTCCCAAACAGTGAAAATATTATTTATTTTCCCATATCTTCCACGAAACGGATTTTAAGGTTAAGTGTAGGGTAAGAGGTCAGATAATTTATTTTTACTTTTAAAATAATAGAATTTCGAGTTGTAAATGTTCAACTTGATTTGTTAGTTATTAATCAAGTTAGTTAGTCAATAGCTTTCATCACATTAAATACCATACTTGATATTTGATAACCTTACAAATATTCTAAATTATAAAATACATAATTTTTAATTTGCTTATTCTGAATTTTACTTGTACACATTGACATGGCGAACTATCTATGGTTCCTTAAAATTGATTTAATGACGTGAAAACATGTCCCAAATACAGTCATTTAGGGGAACTGTATTTAATTGAGATTTTTAATGACTTTTTGAAATTTAAAACATGTCCCACACATTATTTAATTGAGACTTTTAATGACTGTATTCAATGTAAACTTTTGGAGACACTTTAAAAGTATTTGTTTATTCAATTGAGATTTTTATAAATTTTTAAAAAAGTCTCTAATAGTCACGGTGTATTCAATTAAAATTTTGTAAAAGCCTCTATAAGTCTTGAGTATTCAAATTTTTATGACTTTTAGAGACTTTTATAAAACTCTCAATTGTACTAACTTTTAAGCAGAAAGTACTCAAATAAAATTTCAAAATTTGTCTCTCATTAATCACAAGATTTTGGGAGACTTTCACCAAAAAAAAAAAAAAAACTTTCATCTTCCCATGTTAGAGTTATGATTAAAATTTATATATTTCTATTTTTTCTTTTTTTCCTTTCTTATTGTTTTTTTCTATTTTCTATGAAAGACTTAAATTGTATTCTTATAACCATTTTTTCCATTCATTTTTTCTGAAAAATATCTATTTTTAATTAAATTATAAATTTTATATGGACTAATTTATAATTAAATTTAAATATATATATTTTATTTATTCTTTAAAGGTATATTATATTAATAATAGTGAATATTAAATTTATTTTTTATATGTATTATTATTATTTATTTATTTATTTAATGAAGGTTTTAAATTTTTATTCTTTTTAAAATATTTTTTTATTATATGGGGGGAAAAGAAAGGAGAGAGAGAATTGTGAGAACCATTATCTCGTATGTGATAATTTCACAATATTACACTAGATCCACATAAATTATATCTCAAATAGAAGTCTTCAAAAGTCTTTTGGATTCTAAAAAAGTCTCTACAAGTGTTAAAATGAAAGTTTATAAGTTTACGAAAGACTTCCACTAATTCCATACAAATCTCTAAAAAATCCACGAAATCTGCAAAAGTCATCANATCTCGTATGTGATAATTTTACAATATTCCACATAAAATATATCTCAAATGAAAGTTTTCAAAAGTTTTTTAAATCCTGAAAAAGTCTCTAAAAGTTTTAAAATGAAAGTTTATAAGTTTACAAAATACTTCCACTAATTCCATACAAATCTATAAAATATCACGAAATCTACAAAAGTCATCACTTAAAAAAAGTCCATAAAAAGTCTTCAAAAGTCCTAATTGAATACACCCCCCTTATGATATTCAGTGGCACCCATTGGAATTTAGTGAAAAACATTTTTTTTTTCAAAATAATAATAATAATAATCGTTATTTCAGATTTTTTTTTTTAAAAAAAAAAATTCCATGATTTTGTTAATTTCACTATTAATGTTGTAGTAAATATATCGGACCATTCTTGGTGTACAGAAAATTTTTTTCTGTCAAATTTACAAACCACACACAACACAGGTGGGACCCGCATTTTTTGGAATATTTTGTTGACAATGGGACCCACATCCATGTGACACATCTGGTGGAATTCTGTGAAATTTTTTCTGTACACGTGCATTTTCCCATACAACTAATGCACTCCANATTCTTGGTGTACAGAAAAAAAAAAATTATGTCAAATTTACAAACCACACACAACACAGGTGGGACCCGCATTTTTTGGAATATTTTATTAACAATGGGACCCACGTCCATGTGACGAGTGCAATTCTGTGAAATTGTTTCTGTACCCGTGCATTTTCCCAAATATAACAGGACTTCATTAACAACATAATGCTATGGGATGCTCACATTTTGATAGTAGGTTCACGTGACAATAGGAGGATGTGATTCAAAGTATAATTTTTTCTCTCCCGTACGAAATAAGTCACTTCAAGAAAAATCACTCGAAATCATGCAAGTAATCAACTAGGTGTTGAACTTTGATCTAGCACTTTGCATCTGATCAACTGCTATGAATAGACTGATACTCAACAATGAATGATAGCTCGACAGCCAGATGTAACACTTAAACCAAATTTCTATACAGGCACTACAACGAAGTTGCTTTTCACGGTCAATTTTGTTTATGGCGTAAAGCTGCAAGCCATATATAGCAAACTATGTGTATCTTCCCAGCAATTGAGAATTTAATTTGAATCCAAATTTCTAATAGAATAAAGGTTTTTCATGTTTTGATCTGTGTATTGTTGGTATTAATACATGCCCAATATTACTCAAAACAACAAGAACACAAAAGACCACAAGATTTTTCGCCCTTAGGCCCGGATGTTCACCACTAAGTAGCTAGTCACCCGTTGAGCATCCACC